TCCCAGCACCATAGGTTGAAGAGGCTCTCTTCTCCACTGTGTTTCTTGTTGCCTTGTCTAGTAGGAGGTGGCTGTTATTCTTGGGGGCTTGTCTTCTGTTCTTGGTCTACGTGTCTGTCTGGGGCTGGTACATGCTGGTGTTGTCGCTGTGGCTCTGTAGAGCAGTGTCAGGTCTGGCATTGGGACGCCTCCTGCTTCACTTTGCTCACTAAGGATTGCTTTGGTTATTCTGCGCCTCAGTTTTTCAAATGAATTTCATGACTGTTTTTAAAATGTCCATGAAGAACATCATTGAACCTAAGTAATGCTCTTTGGTAGTATGGCCATTTTGACAATATTAATTCTGTCTAAGAACATGGGAGGTCTTGGCATTTTCTAAGGTCTTATTCAATTTCTTTTTGTGCTCTGTAATTTTTATTGTTGAGGTCTTTCACCTCTTTAATTAGATGGATTTCCAAGTATTTTATTTCTTGAGGCTGTTGTGAATGGGATGGTTGTCCTGATTTCTCTTCGGCTGATTTGTCTTTGCAGAAGAGGAATGCAATTGATTTGAGTATTTATTTTGTATCCCGGTACTTTGATGAATTCTTGAGTCCTGGAAGTTTACTGGTGGCATTTTGGGGGGGGCGGGGTTCTAAACACATAATGTTGTCGGCAAACAATTTAGCTCTTATTCCTATCCCATTAACTTATTTTGCCTAATTTCTTTGGCTAGAGATTTGAGGACTGTGTTGAATACAAGAGGTGAAAATGGGCATCTCCGTTTTACTCCTTCTTCTAAGGGGAAGGCTTTTAGATTTTTTTCCATTTAAAATTATGTTGGCCTTGGGCTTAGCATAGATAGCTTTTACAATGTTGGGTATGTTCCTACTATTCCTAGTTTTTCTGGTGTTTTGAACATGAAAGGGTACTGTATTTTGTCAAATGCTTTACCTGCATCTATTGAAATAATCGTGATTCTTTAAGTCTACTTATGTGATAAAGTATGTTTATTTCTGTATTTTGAACCAAACTTGTATCCCTGGGATGAAATCTACTTGTTCGTGGTGCACTCTTTTTAATGTGTTCTTGTATGTGATTTGCCAGTATTTTATAGAGAATTTTTGCATTTACACTAATCAATGATATTGGTATGAAGTTTTCTTTCCTTTGTCTTCAACTAGTTTTGGTATTAGGGTGATATTTGAAGAGTTCCCCCCTCCTCCATTTTGTGGAATACTTCAAGGAAGATTTGTGTTAGTGTTGCTTTAAATGTTCAATAGAACTCAGCTGAGAATCTATCTGGTCCTGGGCTTTTTTGTTGTGGTGGTTATTGTTGGTAGGCTTTTAATGGCTTCATCAGTCTCATTACTTGAAATTGATCTGTTTAAATTTTCTATATTCTCTTGGTTCAAGAATTTATCGATGTCAAGATTTTCTAGTTTATAGGCGTATACATTCTCAAAAGCTTCTGATTACCCTGTGTACTTGATAGATATGTGGTAGTATGTGGTGATATTTCCATTTTCAAAACAGATTTTAATGATTATCATTTTTTCTCTTAGCTAAGGTTTTATCAATTTTTTCAAAGAACTTTTGGCTCATTGATTGTTTGAATTGTTTTTAATCACCACTACATTGATTTTTGGTGCTGATTTTAATTATTTCCTGTCTTGTCTTGGTGTTCTTTTCTAAGGCCTTGAGATGTAATGTTAGGCTATTTGTTGACTTTGTGTTCTTTTAATGTGTGAGCTCAATGCTATGAACTTTGTCCTTAGAATCACCTTCAGTATGTCCCAGAGATTTTCATATGTTGTATCATTAGTCTCATTTACATCTAAGTATTTTTATTTTCATCCTGATTTCTGCTATACATTCAATAGTGGATTAGTCTGTCCCCAGAAATTAATTTATATTATATTTTTATATTTCTAATTTCATTCCGTTATAATTGGAAAAAATTCAGGGTATTCTATTTTTTTTTTGTTATTTGTCAAGAATTCCTTTGTGTCCTAAAACATGGTACATTTTAGAAAATAATCCATGTGCAGCTGAGAAGAAAGTGTATTCAGTCACTGCCTGAAATGTCTATTAAGTCTGTCATTAGTTGTATTGTTTAGATCTATGGTTCCTTTAGTTTTTGTGTGGATGATCTGTCTATTGATAAGAGAAATGTTAGAAATGTTGGTCACCCAGTATCTTTGTGTTGTGGTCTGTTTCACCCTTGATATTGAGAAGGGTTTGTTAGATATATGTAGATGCTCCATTGTTTGGAGCATAGATATTTACGACTGTTATTTCTCATTTCATGACTCCCTTAATCAGTAATGAAATGGCCTTCTTTGTCTCTTCTGAGTAATTTTGGTTTGAAGTCCACTTTATCTGTTGTGAGAATAGAAACCCCTGTTTGTTTATAAGATCCATATGAATGATATCTCCCATCTTTCACCTTCGGTCTGTGGATGTTTTTGCCTATGAGGTGAGTCTCTTGGAGACAGCATACTGTTGGATCTTGTTTTTAATCTGATCTGCCTGCCTATATCCTTTGAGCTGAGTCCATTAACATTCAGTGTTATTGAGAGAATTTTTATTTACTGTCACTTTGATTTATTTCTAGTTTTTAAATTATATTATATGCTATTCTTCACCTTCTGCCCGTTTTTGTTTGTATACTCCATTTCTTCTTCATGAAATATTTCGAGTATGTTTTATAGTGCCAACTTTCTAGTTGTGAATTCTTTGTTTATAGTGGAAGGTTTTTACCTCAACTTCAAATCTGAAGCTTAATTTTGCTGTATATAGTATTCTCGGTTGGCATCCATTTTCTTCCAGAACTTGGTAGATAATATTCCAAGACAACCTACCTTTCAGTGTCTGTGTTTAAAATCGGCTAATATCTAGATTTGTTTACCTCTAAATGTGACCAGTTGTTTTTCTCTAGCCACTTTTAAAATTCTGTCCTTACTCTGTAGGTTAGGCATTTTCATAATGTGCCTAGGAGTGGGTAGGTTGTAATTTTGTATATTTGGAGTCCTGTATACTTCTTGTATTTGACTTTTCCATTTCATTCTTAATATTTGGGAAAATTTGTATTTCATTGAAAAGAGTGTGCACCCCTTTAGTTGTACTTTAGAATTTTCATCTTAGATTTGGCCTTTTAATTTTATCTCATATTTTTTTGAAAATTCTGTTCATGGTCTTCTCTATGATCAACTTTATTTTCAAGATTATGTGCTTCATCTTCATTCCTATGAACATTTAAGATGTTAATTGACAAATTTAACAGAAATGGTAGGATCAGCCATTTTTAAAAATATTTTTTTAGTTGTCAATGGATCTTTATTATATGCAGTGCTGAGGATCAAACCCAGTGCCTCACACATGTTAGGCAAGAGCTCTATCACTGAGCCACTTCCCCAGCCCCAGGATCATCAATTTTTATCAGTGAGGACAGTAAGTATAAATCATGTCAGGCATAAAATGAAGCAATAGATATTACCTGTTTTCTACTGTATTGATTCTATAGCAGTATTTATAAGTTTTATAAGCCAATTACTGTTAAGAGACATTAAGAGAAAAGAGATTGAGGATTGAAAATGGCTTTTAGTTTCAAGAGGTGAATAGGACAGATGCTGAGGCCATAAAAGATGTGTTTATGGGGGCGGTGAGAACCAGAAGTGAAAAATTAGAATAGTTTGGCTGTTAGCAAGAGAAGGAAGAAACAAGAGGGAACAGCCGTGAAACAGACAATACAAAATCAATCCAAAATACACTAATCAAAATCCCTAACCCTCAAACAGGAAATAACTACCCTCAAGACATGCTAGAAGTGATAAAGCAGAACTAGCCCACGAGAGCATGTGCTCACCGCTGGGTGGACTGTCCTTCCCTTTCTCAGCCTCCCTTCTCAGCCTCCCTTCTCGGCAGGATGCTGGCAGCTGTGGAGATGCTGTCGCTCCACTCCCAGGGTGTAGACTCTGCTGGAATATCCGAGATGTTTCTGGAAGTGTAGCTCCTGGGTAGGGATTAGGTCCAGGGTGGCCCCAGGGTGCTGCTGCATGGGGAGTTATTGGGGGTCACTGAATCACCGCACCCCTAGGACTGTACCCCAGGGGCCTGTAGGGTTCCCCTCATGGGGCAGGGGAGCCAGTCCTTGGCCACATGGTGCTGTAGATACCGTACTTTCTGGCCTCCCTGGTCTGTCCCCGAGTGCCCTTACTCATGCCCATTGGAATTCCCGAGCAGCTGCGGCTGGTCCTGCAATGCTGGGCTGGGGTGGGGCGGGGAGGCGGTCTCTCCACCAGGGTTAAAGGCTCTCCTTGCCAGAAATTCAGAATTGCCGGCCTCTGTCTAGCTCCCTGGGCTGGTGACTGCCAGACTCCTATAGTGTACTTAGTCCTGAACTTGGGACTGAGCTCGGGTTCTCTCTTGGCACTGGAGCAGCATGGGCATCCCAGAGGGCTCCAGTCTCCGTGCCCCAGACACAGCTGGCACCCCCGGGGTGTCTTCCTTGCACCCAGTTAGCAAGCTGAGTAGTCTCTACGAGGGCCCAGGGCAGGCAGCCCTTCCTGTCCTGGGATTCTGTGCACTGAGACTGGCCCGGCAGCCGTTCTGACCTTGAGGACTGATTTCCCTGCTCCTGCCAGGAGCCAGCTCCAGTTTTGTTAGGGGGGTGTGTGTGTGGAGTCATGACTATTGTTCTTTCCTGATTGACTTAGCACTGAAAAAAGAACTTTAAAAACTTATGTCAGATTTAATGTAGCTTCTTACCCCTATGATATTAGGTAAACTATCAAAATATTTTCAGACTTGAGGAATTATTTGTGAATAACTTCAAGGTTACATCTCTAGAAATATAACAAGTAACTTAATGTGTTCTCGATGTGTATTTCTAAAATTGATTTATAGAAACCCATTGTATACAAATACCGATGCAGCCCAGCCCTTAGATAAATACATTACTTTTTAAAAACTTATTTGTTTTTAAATGACTGTAGTAATTGGTTTAAAAGTAGCTTCCATTTACCTCATCTGATAATCTTGCCCAGTTTAATCTCTTCTTGGGGCTGGAGCTTGTTTATTTTTATACTGTAAATAGTATGTTCCACTATGAAAAATTTTCAATTGCTACAGATTAAATACACTCTAATTCTATAGTGAATTGATGCTGTTCTTGGTAACCTGGTTATTAGTGCAAAGAAATTTATCGATGGTGTAAATGTTTTATGGACTACTTACAGCACATTAGATGTTTATGGAACTCATATATTTAGTCTTGACCTTGGCCTTATGTTTATGGTCTAGGAAACCAAGGTAGATAAACACACATTCTGAATTTATTGTTAACTGTGTGGCATGAGGAAGTTGGAAACATTGATTGAACAGAGAAATGTTATGTTTTAGAGATAAGAATATGTTCTTTTAACCCTTAATTCAAATGGAATCCTGTGGGGAAAAAAAAGGTCTTCATGGGTGTGAAGATCAAAGAGTACCTGTTTAGTGGTCTTTCCCAGGGGAAAGAATATTCTGAAATTGGAATTCCTTTTTATCAAACATCTCCTGACCAGAGTCTGACAAGGGGTGTGTCCTCACTTTCCAGAGCCTGCTCCTGGTTTGTAAGTCCTGTAGTCTGTCATACTTTCTAACTGTCACAAGGTCAGCAGTCTGTTAGCTCCTCATGGCTGTGACTAACAGACCTGATGGATGACTTAGAAGAAAGGTTTGGCCTCTTGGTTTCAGAGGCTCAGTTCATGCTTGGCTGGCTCCATTGTTCTGGGCCTGAGGTGAGGCGGGACTTGAGGGCACAGGGTCTGGTGGCGGAATGCTGTTCAGCTCATGGTTGCTGAGTAGGGGGTGGAGAGAATGAGCCACAGACGAGATATTGTCCCCAAGGGCATGCCCCCGTTGGCCTACTGCCTTCCACCACGTGCCACCTGTCTATAGCCTCTACCTAGTAGTCGATCAAAACTGTTAATCCATCAAATGAACTAATTCACCGGTAAGATCGGCACCCTCATGATCAATCACTTCCCAAAGTCCCCTGCCCGCGTCTGGATGTTGCTATGTGGCCTTCAACACATGCATCTTGGGGGGATGATCTATACCTAAACCAAATAGTCCCTCTTCAGTCATGTGGCAAAGACGGAGGATTTTGCTAACTGGGATTTTAAATATTTTTTCCCCAGTGTTTGTATTTGTATTCTCTTTTTGGCACTGGAGGGGTTCTGTCACGTAGCAGGTCCTCAATGAGACCGTTCAAGTTCTTCTCCAATGCGGGAGTAGAATGTCAGGACACAGGGGAAACCCTCTGACACCCGGCCTGAGACCCCTGGCTTGCTTTCCCGGTACTGTCACGTGTGCCCTCTGGGGTGGCCTAGGCAAGAAGGCCAGCTGCAGCTTCTCTGGCTTCCTGGGCGACTCATGCTAAACTGTCTCCTTCTTTGTTAAGTTATACTTCACAGTACTTCATTTTCTTTTTCCTTTCTGAGGACTCGCCTCGTGATCTTTCTCATTCCATAAAGTTAAATAACACTTTGAATGGGCTGTTAACATCAAACTCTTAATGGGAAAGAGAAATGAAGGAAACCTGAGCTCACAGGGAAGCTGTGGAACAGAGTGGTACAGAGCTGGCCGGGGCAGGGGAGCATGGAGACCCAGGGCCCTGAATGAGTGGAAACCCTGCCTTCCCGTGTGGCTGCTTCGCCAACACTGAGTCCCCTGGAAGGTCTGCTCGTTTCTTTGGTCCAAGGAGGAAAGGTGGCGTGATATCCGAGGATGTCAATGCAGTTGTAGTTCTGCCAGCAGAACTTGGTCATGCACCCGATTTCCTCTGGCCTTGTTACAACGATAAAGATGGACTGTGCCATAAGGGTGCTCCTTCCACCTCTTTGCACACCGAGATCCCTGAAAAGAGAAAATGAGAACAATATATTGATTTTATAGTCCACAGTTGAAGAAAGGGTGGTTTATTTTTAGCAATGACCTATGCTTTTAAGTAAACGCTTCATGTTAAAGTATGGTTTCAAGGGTTGAGGATTTACAAATCACAAACTGGGTCAAATTTGAGAACTATGAAATTATGGAGTGCTTATGTATTATAAATATGAGCATATTTATGATGCACACTTGTAATATGCATTATAAAATATCATGGGCATAGGCTTATTTTCATTCCTTCAGTCTACTTAGTACCACAAGACCATAATACCCCTAATTAAGACTAGGTTTCTGCCCCTCGGTAGCTCTGTATTAAGAGCACCCTGGAGGGAGGCTCAGTGTGAGGGGAGTGCTTTAGACATACCTAAACTGGGTAGGCCTCTGCCTTGCTGGAATTCCAGTCTTATTAGTTCAGTGGGTTCAAGAGTTCATAAGAACATAAAGCCCCAGATTACATACTTCATAGAATCAGAAGTGAGTTATGTGGCTGTGAGATGGGTTAGTGTTCCACGGGTCCATGTGACAGCATTGTGTTCAGCCCTATGCTTTCTATCCCATTTTATCAACTTTTACAATAACTGCATAATGTAAAATCAGGTTTCAAACCCAAAACTCCAAAGATGGTAAAATAGAAGATGTTATGTAGTTAATACTCAAGATTTTCTTATAGGTTTAAAATTAGAATATTCCATCGTAAATTTTTTAATCATAAAAGACAATTGGTATAAAATTGTTTGGAAAAGAAGTAAATTGTCTATGTAAGTATCTATTTTGCACTGCTTTATTCTAAAAAGATTTGACTCATAATTTGTGAAAAATTAAAAAGGAAGTTGCCAAGCAGCTCATAAATTAACTTTCCTTAAATGTACTGGAGGTGCCAGAAACGTTCACACATAGCAGCTCATTTAATCCATTCCCCACACTGTCTGGCTTTTTTTTTTTTAATACAAGACACGCATGCTCACATAGGAAGATCACATGGGTGGTCACTTATTTGCCCATTATCAGAAAAATAAATGGCAGAGTTTAGGTTCAAGCCAAGGCTTTGAGCTATAATAGATTTCCCAGAAGCTCCCCATGTTTAGCTTAGCGTCATGACCACAGTTTATCCTTCAGCTATCAAGGTAGACACAAGACTTTTCTGGAGTGAAGTGGAAGAAACATCTTCAATCCGTGACCAAAAGAACCAAGTCTGGGTGGGGGAAGTGACATGAATGTTCTACGAAATTATATGGTCCCTTCCTGTATCAGTGGATTTCAGTGTGTGTGAGGAGTATTCCAAGAGCACCATCATGGTCATAAATCAATGTTGTTTAAGCAATCCAAACGTCATTGATCAAGCACTGACTCCATGCCAGGCACTCTTCTGGGCAACTGAGATACATCAGTGATCAAAACAAATGTGATTGTCCTTATAGAGACAGCGTTTACTTCTTACATTTTCCATTTTCTGTTATGTTTTTGCAATTATGAATATTATACATAAAGCATATGGAGTTGGAAATTTCTTGGAAAATAATTTCCTATACTGATGCAAAAGTTGGACTTCACCAACATATAATTTGAGAATCGGCTCTTTTGTTTAGAGAGACCAACAGTAAATCTGAATAAATTGTAGGCAGGACGATTGTATATCACAAATTATCTCTGTTCTGAAATGAAGCAAAAGTGCAAATCATTGTTCACTGGGGGGCTGGGGGACCTGAAGGCAAGTATTCCCAGAAGTGTGAGGCCACACCCACTGCAACTTCAGGGTACACTCTACAGCTAGTCACTGTCAGGTTCTGACTCCTGAGTGCAGTGACTTTGAGCAGAAAGCCAGCCATTCCATATCACCGAGAAATTGGGACAACTGAGGTGGTATCTTTCATGCGGGTCCTTTTCAAAGGAGCCTTCCGGATTTGACTCTTGTTCTCTGCCAACGGCCCAGGTGAGTGGGGGCCCCTGACGTTTTAAGCTCATATTCTCTTTGTGTTTGCACTCTGTTTCCTGTCTCCACTGGAGACTTCATCATTCACACTCCCTCTCCCTGTTTTTTTTGTGGTCCTTTGAGAGAAGGCCTGTGGAGTTAGCGGTGCTGTGTACCTTGTGCAGAGCCCTCCACTGCCACTCGTGCCCGAGTCCTCATCTACCTTTGAACTGCTGCTGCTTAGCCTGGACACATTTTCTTAGGTTTCACATAGTCATATTCCCAGGACATGAGCCTCAATTGCCTTTTATTCTCTTCCTACATCTTCAGTTCATCACACTCCTATATCCTCCTTTGCCCTGTAGGAATCCAAATCTGTCCCCAACCCGGACTCCTCCTCTGTTGCTCTCCCTATGTATCTGCCCATGGGACGCCACCAGGTGAAGGTACGGCAGGCCCCTACTGAACAGGCCTCTGTCCTGTTGACACACACACACTTCCTCACTCCTGCTGCTCCACCACTCTGAGCAGCTTTGTCCCCAGACCTGAAACGGGACACGGGGAAGTATCTCCATCCTGTTCTTCCCTACTGCATGATCATCCAAGTCCAATGAGAACCATCCCCTACTGAGTGCTGCCCCTCCCCCTCCGGTTCCTCCGCCACTGCCTTACCCTAGGCCCGTGCTTTCCTGTTTACACTGCTGTGACTCCCTTTGGTCTGACTGGTCTTCGATTTGTCTTCAGTGCTGTCAGCAAGGTCTGTCTCCTACTCTGGTCCCCGGGCTCCCTGGTACCAGATAAGCACTGACGCTCATATCTTAGTGAATTCATCCAGTGATTTCATTATGGAAGTAGCTCTAAATGTTCAAGTGTTGCAGCATTACTAAAAGTGTCATTCAAGTAATTAAAACATAAGATCTTTGCACAGTTTTGTGCCAAGATTAGCTAAATATATTTGAACAAAAGACTGATTCATTGATCCATCTTTTGCTGTAAGTCAGTTGTTATCAACTTCCTAATAACATCAGGTTTATAAAGGGTGCTGAATGAAGGTACAGTGTTGCGTTTGTTTTAAGTTTACAAGTAAAACAATTTCCACCTTGCCAATAGAAATCAACTTTCGTTGGGAGACATGCGTGCGTACACACACTTCCCAACAAGATATACATGTGTATATCAATATGTATCAATACATGTGGATTTGTTTTTTGGGGACAAAAACATTCAAATATTTTGTCAGTGATATCTTTTTTAAGATGGGAACTGAACCAAATTAATAGCACAATTTTATCCATGTTAAATAGTTAAGAGATACGTGTTACAGTAGAAGAATTATTCGTAATGGACAGAATGTAAAATCAGATGTAAGTGGGTGTGTCTCAACACACATTGAACTGAGGAAGCTGGAGATGTCTGAGGGGTGTGTCCTTCTGCACACTTAACAGGCCTGGCCAGGCAGTTGGGTACAGTTCTTTGTGTTTACTTAGTATTTCTCATGGATAAATTTTGCATAAACAAATGTAAAATTTACATTTTGTTCAAATAATCACTTATTTTCATTGAGGAGCCTCTTTGTTTCTTCTGTGGCATAGAATTCCATCTGCAGAATCTAAAGTGGTTGGGCTCCACTATGAAAGCGAGACAGAATCCTTAGCATAGACACAGGCCTGCAGGACCACACTCACCTTGTGCAGAGGTCTCCTCACTTGGCGGAAGAGGAACTGCACAGAACTAGAAGCATTAGTTTAGTGGATCCCTGAGAAACTACTCAAGGGCACTTTGAATTTGTTTGCCACTGTGTTAATATTTTATGCTTCTCATCAGTTAGCAGAAATGGTAGCTTGCCTGCACAGTGATGCAGAGTACTCAGTCCTTACTAATGGTCTTTGAAATTATGGTTGTAAAAGAAGTAGGAAACAATACTGGCTCAAAGCAACACATGAATATTTCACTAAGCGTTCAATAGTTTTGTGCTCTTCAGGAGAATTGTAGAATTCTACAGATTAACTTGACAGTATAATCAAATGGTGGAGTTAGTTTTCCAACATTGTTATTATTGAGTACTACAAATATTCAAACGAAAGAAAAATTGAACTTTACAAGTAAAATTGGTGTATTATAGATAATAAAAGGAATCCTATTTGCATTTTTCCATTTAGTGATGAAAGCCTAGGCTTTAAGTCATAATGAAGAATGAATGAGTTGTTCCAAACACATTGAAGAGAGAATTTTAATGATGCTTGAACTGTAAGCCCAAATACTAATGGCTATGATTATCCTCAATAGCTTTACCTGCTTACCAAGTGTAAACTAGCGATAATTGTTGCTTAGGCAGAAAATACAGATTGCTCATTTTCAATGAAAAATCAGTTACTTAAGAAAAAGTTAAACTTTCTTTATTGTAATTTCTGACCCTGCTTGTAATAGCACATGATTTATGACTCAGTGCCTATTTCCTTGGCAACAAACCTTTTAGAAATAAAACATGCACAAATATTGCTAATCAACATGGGTGTGTGTGATTCTGCACTTCTATGCATAGGAAGGCATTTGAGAAAGACTCCGGGTAGATCTGTCCTCAGAGCCGTTGCAGACGTGCACTTGATGCTCTCAGTTCAGGGCCTCGGCCTCCGGAGCCAGCTGGATGCTCTTCAGTGGAGGCCTGAAGCGTTATGTATGTGACACTCCTCACTCTGCAGCCTCAGGGTAGCTCTGGTCACACTGGGCTGGTTGACCGGCCTCTCCACACTTCCTTCTCCTTGTGTTAAAGTGAGGATGACAGTAGTCCCTGCCTTAGGGTGGGGATACGAAGTTTCCCACAAAAGCTCTTAATAAAGGAATATTCAGAGGTGAAATGATTGGATTATGAGAGCTGCAACCTGATGCATCCCTCCTGGTGCGAGTGGACCATTGGGTGGTAGGCAGGTAGGGATGGCTAGAGGAGGTGGGTCCCTGGAGGTGTGCTCTGGAAGGGTGCGTCTTCCCTGTGGCCCCTCCTCCTGCTTCCTGCCAGCCGCGATCTCGGCATCTTCCAGGGCCTTGTGCCATGATGTTGTGCTTCACCTTAGGCCCAGAGCAATGGAGTTGGCCGACCGTGGACTGAACCTCTGAGACTCTGAGCCTAAGGTAAGCTTTCTTCTCTGTTGTTGTTACTGGTACTTTGCTCATGGGAGGGGAAGCTGACTAGCACACCTCCCTCCTGGGCTTCTCCAGGAGTCCCTGGGGCCTGGGGGTGTGGGCTCAGAGCCCCCAGCAGCTCTCGCACCTGGTTCTGATGCCCCAACCCAGCAGCGGCCTCTGGACTCCCTCCGGTGACGCGGTTGACTCTCCAGTCCTGCTTTCCTTCATTCAGTTTGATGTCTGATCCCATCTCCTGTCCTCATTGGAAGCTAGTTGCAACTGAACTCTGTAAAGCAGCAGGGGCCTGCCCATGCCGTCTCTCAGGGGAGATGATGGTCATTCTTAGATGAAAACTAAACTTTAACTTTAACCACTTACAGTGCACACATTAGAAGATAAGTAAAAATCTCATTCAGATGAATAAAATTCACCTCCATGAGATAAAATAATTTTCTTTGATCCACGGAAGCACGGGAAAGGCACATGTTGGAGTACCTCGTGATGCTGGGGTGTGTGTGCACTTGGTCTGCTGTTTAAGTCGGGCTCAACGGATCCAGGTCCTCAAACGTTTCTTCATGGTGAAAAGTCTCAATCCGTTCTTAGAGCTTTTTGAAATGTACAATACACTACCGTTATCCCTGTTCTGGCAAGTTATTTTAAGACGTATCAATGTAGATCCAAGGGTCTAGATTCTGCAGGGTCAAACTAAACAGAAAATACATCTGACTAAAAAGAAAAACATCTTAGTTTAATTGAGACTAAGCAATCCTCATCTACCTTTAGAATGGAGTGAAAATAAATCCTTGACCATGGGTTTTTAAACTACCTCATTTTAAAAAATGCTCCAAGGAAGTGACATTCTCTTTCATCTTAAAAAAACCAAACACAAAGCTGTGCTTGCCTGGTCTGGAACAGAGGTGTGAAGGACTCATCCTCTTCATCCTGATGTCGGATACTGAGGTGTTTCATCCACAGGCTGGGAAATCTCCCCCTCACTGTGGTGGAGAACGTAAACTTCCTTAAGCTACTAGGGAAATGCTACATTTGTAAGTTGTAGGGAGCAATGACCTTAAAAGGCTGAGTGAAAGCAAGAAGAGGGCATGGGGGCAGGTAGAGACGATGGAAGGCCTGGGTAAGAGAAGAGGGGGAAGCCTGAGGCAAACAGGGCATCTGAGCTGGCCCCACAGGGATGTGTCAGTGGTGGGGCTGGTGAGTTATCACCCGAGAGGCCTGCCACTGTGTAGTGTGGGGAATGCACTATGGGGTTAAAATATTCCTTGACGTTCCCAAGACAAACAAGAACTAGGTGTTTAGGTCTGTCTACTGCTTAGGCGACCCCTTCAGATACTAAATACTGTGTGAGGGAGACCTGAAATGTATACACCCATAAATAGCTGAAACCCAACAATCTATCCAACTTGATACTCCCATCCAGATGTCCAATAATCTGTTTCCAAAATAGCAGTTTCCTGTCAACACTGTAACCTGTTCTTCCCGTAGAATTACTTTATTAAGTCCATCTTTCTAATTAACCAAGCTCAACTTCTTGAAGGAGTTCTGTAGCACCTGAGGATGGTTTGTGGAAATGCAGATCTCTACCTGAGGTGGATTCTCCAGTTCTGGGAGGGGAGCTCTGATCATGCCTGATCACTTCTCAAACCAGATGATACTAGGAGTAATCCAAGGAGGTATCCATCTTCTTCCTTGCTGTCAGGGTCCCCTGAAGAGAACTTCAGAAGCACAGATGCTGTGGTCTAAACCCACACCTATGTTCAGCATTCGGTGAGGCACAGGCTTAGGTTTTAAAAAATATCCTTATGCATTTATGATAGACATGCAGACATGGACAGAGAATCGCTGGGCCAGATGATCAACAGTGTGAAACATCTGGAGAGCTTTGTTGCCCGGGTGATGGTGATTTTCTTGGTCCTCATCCTTACTGTGTCCTAGAGTGGCTCTTTGGGGCAGTGGGAAAGCTAGTCTTGAGCAGTGGTCTTCAGAATTCCTTTCATGAGATTCATAAATGATTTGAAAAACAACATAGCACCTCATGCTTTTAAGATGACACGAATGTTTTTCATGATAAATTTTCAAAAGGTACAATTTGGATGTTACGTGACAATTACTTTGTTGACTTAACAGAACAACTTGAAATGCTCTGACAGCTAGAACAGACCTCCCTTCCTGAAGACAAACTGTAAATCTTCCTGCCCGAAACCTAACTCTGCATGGGTGTCACCTGGGGATCTTAATCTTCACAAGTGGCTGGGCCAACAGTTTGCATTTCTAGCAAACTCTCTGGTAACACCTTTGATTGACAACCGAACAAGTACTGGTAGTATGGACCCAATCTCCTGATTGGCAGGGGCTTCATTTTCTAGTATTTTAGAAACATCATTTCTCAAATCCACCCCACTATTTTGAAATGCCTTCTGTTTGGCTCCCTGAAGGTATTTACTGAGGCAGTGCATTCTGGCAAGATACCAGGTAGGTGTGAGGAACACTTTTCCTTTAGCTGATAACATGAGAGCAATTTGGGAAAGTGATACATCCATCACAGCCTTCCAACCTGACAAATTTTAGGATAGAATAATAAACTGAAGAACAGGAAATAGATTTCTTTCAAGCTCTCCATGTCTGTATACCCCTAGAAAACACCTAAGTAGCTCAGGTGTACATGTGTACGCTCCTGTGCTGAAAAATGTTTACAGAGAGCTCAGCTTTTGCATACAGAAGGTTGCAGTTTGATTTGGGGCCAACCACTTATCTAACTGTGCCTCAATTTCCTTGTCCGTCATATGGGAATTATGGATTTAACCCATCAGCTGTGGAAAGGGTAAATGTAATATTGGAAGGGCTGAAGAGAGTACCTGCTTCATCCAGATGTCACCAAATGCAAAGGATTCTTCTGGGAGACCACTTTTGTGTCAAAACTTCAGTCTTCCCTCCACCTGTTCAAGACATACCACATGTTTACCACTTTTGTTTCTATATTTGAGATAGGAAAATTTTGGGGTGGCTCTTGAAAGAATTGCCTAAATATTTCTTTGAAATTTTGTTCATACTAAAACAACGAACAATTCTCTCTGACAAGCCAAGTGTGTTAAATCTTGCAATGTTAGGAACAAGCACTCTAAATCTGGCCAGTAGTGGTTATTAGCTTGCATTCCCATGTTTACTTTGCCAGTGCATCATGCCAGCATTTGCTAATGATTTCAAAACTTTACACGTGCATATTATATCCTGTGATCTCTATCAGGGTAAAAACTGTACCTTCAATTGTCCATACTAAGAAGTTCTGTTCACATAACAGATGTTAAATACATGAATGAAGAAATAATGGATTTCCAGAAATTATTTTTGTCCACAAGTATATGTGCACGTTTAGCCTTATTTAAAATTTGGGAGGATAAATATTTTTACTGTCTGCCAGATAATTTCCAAGAGAATCTTTGCCAACAGCATGCATACTTTATTTGAAATTTAATGCTATTAAAACAAAATCCAACACACGTTGGACAAATTTGTGCCTCGGATGAAAATAAACTACCATATCTCCACTGTCACTGAACGAGGATAGCCTTGGCCAATGCCCTTTTCAGAGGTAATTTTCTTATAAGGAATAGTCTACAATAAACACGAAAATTTAAAGGAATGTCATGTCATAACATTAACCATGTGAAGTTTTTGAGACATGGATCTTCTAACACATGCAAAAGGACTTCTGTCTTCTCTGAACTTCCTGCCATTAAAAAAAAAAAAAAAAAGACTTGCTTTGCTATTAAGCCTCAGGTAACTTGTGGGAAGAGGAGGCTGGATTTGCACAGTCATAATTGGGGGTGTTCTTTTACAAGACTCTGCTTGCCCTTCCCCTGTTTAGTCTCCATACTTACAAAGCTTCAGACACTGTATGGTTAGAAAATAATGCTACAGTCTCGCATGTTTTTAGTTGCATTATTTAGGTAATCTGAGTTGCCATGTTGGGTTTGATTCCTGTAACAATTGAGAACCTACTGTGGTTACAAGTATTGGCTGGGGTCATCAGGACTGAAGATGGCATTGCAGTCCCCTTCCGCTGTGACTTGGCGATATGCTGTGTATTTTGAAGTAGAAAATGGAGGAAGGTCATGTGTCCTTGGTCCTGGGGCAGGGTACTGTGTGAACTCGGGAAATGACAAATGTCTTGGGCTATTTCTGAAACCACAGTGCTCTAAGGGGAAATAAAACCACTTTCTTGAGTGACCAACACTATCCTCTGTAAGAAAGCAGTGCTTGTCTTTTTTGGACTTCTGAAATTAGCAATTAGGTACAGCTTGTCTTGCTGGTTGACTCAGTTCTCACTAATAGAAAACAAATCTCTTCTACGCTCATTAGAAATAAATTTGACATTGGAAAAAATGGGATTGTTTGCCCTTAGCAAAACTTACTGTTTTCTTTAGGTGATAGAATTCTAACAATTTGATTTTGATTTGTTAATTTTTTTCCAATTACACTCTCCGATTTCACTTCTTCTACTTCATCCAAAGTTACTTTGTACAGGACTCTGACCTAAAGTATGTGGTTTAGCTGTCAGCTATTACCAATTTTAATAGTTATGTCACTACTACCAACAGACCATAGAAGAGTCGGAAAAACCTCCATCAGTGCAGTTTTTAATTTGGAAAGTTGCCGCTGTCTAACTGGATACGGGGCTGTGGAAGGCAGAGGCCCGGTTCAGCGTGGCAGCAGGTTACTGCTGTCAAGTTAAGGGGCTGTCTGTGCAGCAACCACGTGAGTGGGTATTTGCGGAGTGGTGAGCAGCGTGTTGTGACCACTCTTGCACATTCTGTGGGTACAGCCACAGGGAAGAGATTGCTGCTCCCCAGGTGCCTTCTCCCACAGCCTGGCAGGCCTGGGAAACCTGGACAGGGCAAGATGTGTGTGGACCAGGACTCGGCGTCCCTCGCCCTTCCAGCTAAGCAGGTTATTGCTATCTGGGAAGTGGCGTCTTTGCCCATTATGGTGGTTGACCTGAGATCAGCAGACATCCTGCTGCTCCATGTCCACGCCTGCCAGGCGGCTCTGAGAGCGCATCTGTGTGCCCCGACAGAGGGAAAGTGCGAGCGCCGGCTTTGCACATGGAGCTGGCAGTGGACACTGTGGTCCACCGTCTGTTTGAAGCTCTGGGAGGCTGGCTAGAGTGAGTGTCCTCCCAGCTGGTGTTTCTGCATTGCTGTAGGGCCACGTGCATGGACGAGGCCCTGGTCATATTTTCCCAGAAGTCCACCTCCGTGAGCTTGTAACTTCACTGTTCATCCCCAAGGGAGCTGCGGCTGAGTCTTGGAGTTAGCTGCATTGGAATAGGGTCTCTCCGCTTTTTTCCTATCTTTTTCAGGATTGTTTTGGCTCTCTTCGATAAACAGGTGAAAACAACTTGTCCCTTGTTTTGATTCAGCCAGAGTTGGGGCGAGTCTGTTTTAAAGTCGATCACTTTATAAGTTAGAGACCCTATAAACAAGGCATGTTCTCGAATTTCATGGCCACGAAAGAGGACTTGTCCCACAGTAAGGTTTTACTAATGGAGCCAGCTGAGCCAAGTGTGATGTCGGTGTTCCTTTCCAGTGTCAACTGTCGGGTTGGTTCCCCTGCCCACACTGAAATGTCCCCTGATGCTGGCCCAGTGCCTTCCACTCCTGTGTCCCAGCTCTAGCCACACAACCCTAAGACTGCTTCTGAGCTGGCCAGGTCGTGGGAGATGAGGCAACACCAAATTATTTGTAAGAAAAGTTGTGTTAGGTGGGGAGAGAGTATAGTACAGGGAAAATCAACAAAATTTATAGTTAACAGAATTCCTATTATATGTCCATAACATGAACGGGCAAGGAAGTTTATAAGTCAGGGATTCCTTAATTTTCTTATACTGTTAATTTTTGGCCTCTAAATAACCAATTTTCATTAATTTAATAGCTGATGGATCCCCAAATATAATTCACGAAGGGAATTATCCTGAAGACTGATAAACGGTGATGTAGAAGAAGACAGAAAACACTGAATTGGTCTTCAGAAACAACTGTAGACTCGATTAAAAACTAAGGCAATATAACAGCATTAAAATTTATCTGAAATTTTGAGTCTGTTAACATTTAAAGGAAAGTAAAAACATGGATGTGTACGTTCTATGTTTCCTATCTGGGAATTTTGAAGAACTGATAGGGATGTGAAGAAATAGCAAAGCTATTTTTGAAATTAATGTGAGAATATAAAACGAAAAAAAAAATCCCAGGACAATTCTTTGGGACTGTAATGATGTGTCTTATGCTTTTGGTTTATAGCATTCTACTTCATGAGATCAAGGACTAATTTTAATAACTAGTTTGATAAACTCAGTCCTTGGGACTTGAATAGAGTCCTAGAGGACAGATGTATACATTCAGGGTCCTCAGTCTTACACCAAAATTCAAATTGGATAAATGGAATTTCAAATGGCTCATTTATTAAAATCAGAACTTTCAAAATAAAAGATTTTGATTTGGATGACGAAGTAGCATTCTCCCAAATAGTAAGTAAATAAAAAAAAAATCCTAAATGTGATTTAAATTAGCAAATTTTTGGACTTCTATCCATAAGAAAACTGTCCTTGAAAATGAGATTGTTCCCTGCATGGATACATGGGCAAGTCATTGTTTGTCCAGCCTGACATTGCTGGACTTTTATGACTGTAAAATTATTATAATCAATAATCATTTGACTATATGTCTGTGTGGTCTGCATATGTAAAATGAATTTTATGCTTATTTGGTTCCTTGGGCAGCTTTCAAATGATTTTTTGAAGAGTAAATTACTAAAATATTCCAACAAATCCTAATCAGTGTCAAGTCAAAATTATAAGGTAATTTTGCTTTTATGGAGCTATAGCCTGAAATAAATTGACATACAGAATCAAAAACATCTGGTATTCCAAAAGAGATGATAAGTTAACCATGAATTAAATTTTTATTAGATGATATTTGAATGCAGGATTATACTTTTGTCCTTATGGTTTACAATATTTATTCCTAAGATAGGTAAGAGAGAATAAAATGGTGCACAATATTTTATTATAATTCTGAAAGTACTTTCTCCAGTAGTATTCCTCTTTGTGGAGGAGGATGTAACTTTTAACGGATATTTCATTTCAAAGGTTAGGTCATGTTTTGAGCAGATGCCAAGAACTGAGTAGCCTGGAGCAGTAAATCCACTGGTGTTTTACAGAACTGACTTTAAACCTTTAGATTAATTTGATTATGGCTTCCGTAAAAATAATGTGCATGTCATATGGTAATGAGCAAGTCTCAAGTCGGGGATTCTAGGAGGTAGGCTTTCCAGCACTGTCTAATGACACTTTTCCCGAGCTACTGATCCCAGCCTTACATTGCTCTCAATCAAAAAGGATTTCATATATTTTTTTTAATTGTCCCCCAAATTTGGTGTTACTCAAGAAAACAGAAGCATGATTTCTCTTATTTAGTCATTTCTCCATGTTGGTAGCATCCAATTTCTTCAAATGTTGTTTGCATCTAACTCTGGCTACTTAATTGTGCAGTTAGTTCGCCAGTGTCAATATAAGACTTGTCTCTCTTTACCTTAGGAAGCTATCAGATTAAATACTGAGCTGCAGAGAATCACTAGCAGTGTCATTGGGCCGACACGCAGGTGGCACGGATTATCTGCTATGCTCACATGTCCCTTAAGCCAGATTTCAATTTCTGTAAGTGAACAGCCTGACCATGAAATATAGATGACTAAAAATTAAATTTCAGCTATAGTATCTTGCTCCAAGGCTAATTGGAAGAACCTGAAGCTCTAGTAATGATTAAAACTGGTTTATCACATCAAGGGGAAGTGGCATTTTGTGATATTTCTATAAATTGAATTCAAATACTGTGGTGTAAAGATAGGAACCTCTAAAAATACATGAGGACCTTCTGCATTA